ACATGACTGTTGGTGTTGGGGCAAGGCATGCCTTGCTGCGGTGTCCTCAACCCCCTGTTCTTGGGGGTTGGGGGGGTAGGGAGAATAGTGTGGGTGGGGGGTAGCTAGGATGGGGGGGGAGGCACTCTCGCCTGTGTGGATCAAATAAACTATAGTGGGACACGCGAGGCACCAGCTCCCACGCTGGGGAGTGCTAATATTAGTAAAATCTTTTTTCTTTTTTTTCCCTGATCTAGTTTATTGGTCAGAAATGTACAATGAAAGACAGGTCTTGGAGATGCAATAAAGATCTTAAGAAATATATTACCTGTTATTATTTAATTAAAAATATTTTGGAACAGTATACAGTCCTCTTGTTACATGTGTATGTATACATGGTGACTTGTTCCATGTATACAGCCAGCCCCTTGGTCTCCTCATACACACTCCTTCAAGTCTCATGCTCTCATAAACAGACCATTGTCCAGTCTGCTCATAATCAGACCATCCACCAGTCTGCTCATAATCAGACCATCCTCCAGTCTGCTCATAATCAGACCATCCACCAGTCTGCTCATAATCAGACCATCCACCAGTCTGCTCATAATCAGACCATCCACCAGTCTGCTCATAAACAGACCATCCTCCAGTCTGCTCATAATCAGACCATCCACCAGTCTGCTCATAATCAGACCATCCACCAGTCTGCTCATAATAAGACCCTCCACCAGTCTGCTCATAATCAGACCATCCAACTCATAAACAGCTCTTTGGTCTCATAAACAGACCTCGCATCCCCTAATTCCCTCATAAACAGACCAGTCGTTAGTCTCCTCATAGACAGACCTTATCAGGAGTGTCACAGGGGAGCAGGGCCGTGGCCCAGTGCCCCCCTGAAGGAGGGCACAGCCCCAATGCCCCACCTTCACCAAGTCTGTGGATGTGAAATGTTCTGCTCAGAGTCCATAGACTTTAGCACTAAATAGTAGTGAATTCAGATATTTACCGCATTGCTAGGAGGGAGAATGGGAGGGAGGGAGGGAGAATGGGATGGAGGGAGGGAGAATGGGATGGAGGGAGGGAGAATGGGAGGGAGGGAGGGAGAATGGGAGGGAGGGAGGGAGAATGGGATGGAGGGAGGGAGAATAGGATGGAGGGAGGGAGAATGGGATGGAGGGAGGGAGAATGGGATGGAGGGAGGGAGAATGGGATGGAGGGAGGGAGAATGGAATGGAGGGAGGGAGGGAGAATGGGGTGGAGGGAGGGAGGGAGAATGGGATGGAGGAAGGGAGGGAGAATGGGATGGAGGAAGGGAGGGAGAATGGGATGGAGGGAGGGAGAATGGGATGGAGGGAGGGAGAATGGGATGGAGGGAGGGAGGGAGAATGGGATGGAGGGAGGGGGGGAGAATGGGATGGAGGGAGGGAGGGAGAAAGGGATGGAGGGAGGGAGGGAGAATGGGGTGGAGGGAGGGAGGGAGAATGGGGTGGAGGGAGGGAGGGAGAATGGGATGGAGGGAGGGAGGGAGAATGGGATGGAGGGAGGGAGGGAGAATGGGATGGAGGGAGGGAGGGAGAATGGGATGGAGGGAGGGAGAATGGGAGGGAGGGAGGGAGAATGGGATGGAGGGAGGGAGAATGGGATGGATGGAGGGAGGGAGAATGGGATGGAGGGAGGGAGGGAGAATGGGATGGAGGGAGGGAGGGAGAATGGGATGGAGGGAGGGAGGGAGAATGGGATGGAGGGAGGGAGAATGGGATGGAGGGAGGGAGGGAGAATGGGATGGAGGGAGGGGGGGAGAATGGGATGGAGGGAGTGAGGGAGAAAGGGATGGAGGGAGGGAGGGAGAATGGGATGGAGGGAGGGGGGGAGAATGGGATGGAGGGAGTGAGGGAGAATGGGATGGTGGGAGGGAGGGAGATTGGGATGGAGGGAGGGAGGGAGAATGGGATGGAGGAAGGGAGGGAGAATGGGATGGAGGGAGGGAGGGAGAATGGGATGGAGGGAGGGAGGGAGAATGGGATGGAGGGAGGGAGGGAGAATGGGATGGAGGGAGGGAGGGAGAATGGGATGGAGGGAGGGAGAATGGGATGGAGGGAGGGAGAATGGGATGGAGGGAGAATGGGATGGATGGAGGGAGGGAGAATGGGATGGAGGGAGGGAGGGAGAATGGAAGATTTTGTTTTCTACCACAGAGGTGGCCAGACATTTACAATGCTAACTAGCAAATATACATTTTCTTCTGTCCTCCATGGACAGGGTTAGAGATGTGTTAAACATATAGTTCAAGGGTTTATTGAACACTCGACCACAGAAGGTGATTGTTATGCTTTTAAAATGTTAATGTTACCTATGTACATAAATACACAGATTTACGACTGTCCCACATAAAGTGTTCGATTTTTTTTACATAAATGTGCGTTTACAAAGGTGAAATGCAATTCTGACCAGCTTCCACATATCCAGCATGCACACACACAACACTAATTTCTCTAAATTACTGAATTCTGTAAAATAATGGGCAAAGTTTCTTTCACTCTGAATGCCCCTGTTACCTAGCAGTAAATAGGTACCTGGGAGTTAGTCAGCTGTCACGGGCTGCTTCCTGGGGATGGAGGCCTGGTCGAGGACCGGGCCGCGGGGACACTAAAGCCCCGAAATCATCTCAAGATAACCTCAAGAATTCATTATGCGTTACTATGAGACAAAGGCGCCAGTCATCTTGTGCCCCTAGACCGCTAATTCCCAGGGGATGCCCCGTGGTCCCTGAGTCAGGTCCGTGGTCCCTGAGTCAGGTCCGTGGTCCCTGAGTCAGGTCAACTACACTGTGACTCCAATTACCCACACTCCCATGTCTGAGAGAGAACATACTGGATAATTCCTACAACAACCTAGTTTGTTACACTGTTTCGGGAATCGAACCCGGGCCACAGAATTACGAGTCCAGAATTATGAGAATTACGCAATCGACTCAGCTACCAGACCCCCAGTGTGAGTGTGTGTGTTAGGGAGAACTATATGTAGTAGACATAGTAAAGGGAAAATATATTGGTTAGAAAGGCGGGGTCCAAGAGCTCGATTCTGCAGACACAAATAGTAGATACACAGAGCGTGGCACAGCCAGGTAACCCATTTAATAATACAATATAAAACATTATATAACCAAATAACAGTGATATAGAGCATATCTATGTTATATAACCTTCCATATAAGACTCTTTAACATACTTATAACTAGTATACCAAACTATCCTCACTTGACAACGTCCAGAATGTGGTGGTTTGGCCTAACCAAAGCATAGGAACACATTGCTCATTAGTTCAAGGGTATAGTCAACAATGCGGTGCTTCAAATTTCAGTATTGCACTGGGTTTTTGACGTTGTGGTCGGTAAGGTCAATGTTGAGGGGCCTTAAGTGGGAGGACAGGTTGGGTGTCCGAGGCTTGGTGTCTGAACATAAGCTGAAGGGTGGATTGACTGGGCACGCTTCCACTCCGTGAAGATGTGTCCTCATGATACTCTTGAACTCGAGATGCGCTTGTACTCATGATGCTCTTTATACTGTACTCAAGATGTACTTGCACTCGAAATATTCTTGAACTCAAGATACCATTGTACTAGATGCGCTTGTATTCAAGATTCTCTTATTCAAGCATTTTGAATATAAGATATATATTCTTATATATATTCTCTACTATAATATTCACTCCTATACTCGTATATTATTCGCATATATTGTACTCAAGATGCGCCTCGACTTAAGGGAGTCTTGTACTCACTCAGTTTGTACTCAAAACGCACTTGAATTAAGTGTGAATTGTACTCGAGCTGTGGTAGTGTGTTTTTAAGGCATGTTTGTCACATATATGTATACTTCCATTTATTTATACATATGTATATGCAAAACAAAAACCAATTTCTCACTCGATAGTGTATAATGTATGTATAAGATGAATAAAAAGGAACACATACTGAAAGCTCTCAGCCAGCTAACAGGAGACAGCAGTCGTCTGCTCCTGTACCCACCTAATATCAGTCACAGGAGTCACTGAAGGAAAGAACGAAGGAGGAACAGAGAGAGAGAGAGAGAGACAGAGACTGACAAGACATGCACAGAAAGAGTGAGAAAATGACAGACAAGAAAATACGTTGACGAGTCCTTAACAATAGAACATTAGACGTCTAGGAATCCAAAAGGAAGACACGTCAAGTGACGAGTGACGACACGTCAAGTGACGAGTGACGAGTGACGACACGTCAAGTGACGAGTGACGACACGTCAAGTGACGAGTGACGAGTGACGACACGTCAAGTGACGAGTCGTCATCAACATTGGAACACAAAAGGTGGCGAATATTACACTGTAAATGTTAGGTGGGTGACCCGGGTGAGAGACGACACCGCCCCCTGCACCACCACCACCTCACTCCTCCACCTCATAAAACACAGTATTGCTGTGTATATCAGATTTTACCCACCGTAACGCAGCGAGTTGAACCAGGCGCCCCCCCCCCTACACCCCCTCCCTACCCTACCATCACGTGGGGGGGGGGGGGTGGCTGAGTCAGCCATCACCACCCTGTATCACACATACACACACACATCATTTACGGGGCCGGTGGGTGACTGGATAGCACACTGGACTCTGTGGCGCGGGTTCGATTCCCGCACTAGGCAGAAACAAATGTGCAAAGTTTCTTTCACCCTGATGACTCTGTTACCTAGCAGTAAATAGGTACCTCGGAGTTAGTTAGCTGCCACGGGCTGCTTCTTGGGGTGTGTGTGTGTGGTGTGGAAAAATAAATAAAAAATAAAGTAGTTAGTAAACAGTTGAGAGGCGGGCCGAAAGAGCAAAGCTCAACCCCCGCTAACACAACTAGGTGAATACACACACACACACACACACACACACAAACATCATTTGGGAGATGAAATGTTACAAAATTACCTTAACAAACTCCAGGAGTGTACAAACAAATGGTTGCTGGAGTTCAATCCTAAAAAGTGTAAAGTGATGAAGATGGGGAAGGAACATAGAAGACCAGAAGTTGTCAACACCATTAATGGAAGGCAATTGCAGGAATCTGAGAAAGAGATTTGGGAATGGATATAATTCCATCCATAAGACCAGAGACACACACAGGCAGAGTAACATCAGCGGCATATGGGACGCTGGCAAACATTACAACTTCCTTTAGAAACCTAAATGAGGACGCGTTCAAAGCAGTCTACACAGCTTTTATTAGACCAGTACTGGAGTATGCAGCACCTGCTTGGAATCCACACCTTATGAAACATAAAACAACAATTTAGAAACTGCAGTTTGCAACTAGATTTGTGCCAGAGCTTAGAGGGTTAAGTTATAAGGCTAGGCTGAAGGAACTGGATCTCACAACCTTGGAGGACAGAAGAAATAGAGGAGATATGATAACAACGTACAAAATACTGAGAAAAGGCAAGGTGAGCAAAGACAGTCTTTAAGGTGAAGAAAGTAAGACAAGTGGATACAAGTGGACGCTGGACCCGCAAATGAGGGGAAGAACTGTAAGGAAATACTTGCACCAATATTCCTGTCAATCACTGGCCCGTCACTGGTCGATATGTCATGGGAAAGATCCGGGAGACTAATCGATTTGAGATGTAATCCTTGTATTAACGAGGCGCGTCGTTAGCCAGATTCCTCGTTGATCACACGCTTAGTAGATAAGACAATTCATTGATTAAATGCCTCGTTAATCAATATGCTTCACTAAGAAGACATCTTATTCAACAGACTCTTCGTTGACCATATTCTTAGTTGATAAGTCCTTTCGTTAATCAGGCCGTTCGTTGATTAGACCCCTCGTTGATTAGACCCCTCGTTAATCAGACCCCTCGTTAATCAGACCCCTCGTTAATCAGACCCCTCGTTAATCAGACCCCTCGTTAATCAGACCCCTCGTTAATCAGACCCCTCGTTAATCAGACCTCTCGTTAATGAGACCCACTTCGTTAATGAGACCCACTTCGTTAATGAGACCGTCGTGAGCCAAGCACCTACATTTAGAAGCCAACATATTGTCCCAGTAAGCTAACTTATCAAGAGATTGTGGTTACTAAAAACGTTATTAATGTTAATTAAAGTGTGCTTGGAGCCGGGCGCAGGGCTGGACGTATTCATCAGGGGAGCAGCTCCCCCACGCTCAGGTCTCCAGGTATTCATCAAGGGAGCAGCTCCCCCACACTGAGGTCTCCAGGTATTCATCAAGGGAGCAGCTCCCCCACACTGAGGTCTCCAGGTATTCATCAAGGGAGCAGCTCCCCCTCAGTGAGGTCTCCAGGTATTCATCAAGGGAGCGGCTCCCCCACACTGAGGTCTCCAGGTATTCATCAAGGGAGCAGCTCCCCCACACTGAGGTCTCCAGGTATTCATCAAGGGAGCGGCTCCCCCACACTGACGTCTCCAGGTATTCATCAAGGGAGCAGCTCCCCCACACTGACGTCTCCAGGTATTCATCAAGGGAGCGGCTCCCCCACACTGACGTCTCCAGGTATTCATCAAGGGAGCGGCTCCCCCACTCTGACGTCTCCAGGTATTCATCAAGGGAGCGGATCCCCCACACTGACGTCTCCAGGTATTCATCAAGGGAGCGGCTCCCCCACACTGACGTCTCCAGGTATTCATCAAGGGAGCAGCTCCCCCACACTGACGTCTCCAGGTATTCATCAAGGGAGCGGCTCCCCCACACTGACGTCTCCAGGTATTCATCAAGGGAGCAGCTCCCCCACACTGACGTCTCCAGGTATTCATCAAGGGAGCAGCTCCCCCACACTGACGTCTCCAGGTATTCATCAAGGGAGCGGCTCCCCCACACTGACGTCTCCAGGTATTCATCAAGGGAGCGGCTCCCCCACACTGACGTCTCCAGGTATTCATCAAGGGAGCGGCTCCCCCACACTGACGTCTCCAGGTATTCATCAAGGGAGCAGCTCCCCCACACTGACGTCTCCAGGTATTCATCAAGGGAGCAGCTCCCCCACACTGAGGTCTCCAGGTATTCATCAAGGGAGCAGCTCCCCCACACTGAGGTCTCCAGGTATTCATCAAGGGAGCAGCTCCCCCACACTGAGGTCTCCAGGTATTCATCAAGGGAGCAGCTCCCCCACACTCAGGTCTCCAGGTATTCATCAAGGGAGCAGCTCCCCCACACTGAGGTCTCCAGGTATTCATCAAGGGAGCAGCTCCCCCACACTGAGGTCTCCAGGTAATTACTAGTCTGGGTTTACCTTCTCTAGACAACATTTCGCTGGAATTTAATTTCGATGAAGAAGTGTGTAATCAACAGAAACGTGAATGTTAATGAGCGTAAATGAGTAGAATAACAGAGAAGGAGAGAGACAGAGGGAGAGAGAGAGACAGGGAGATGTTGATGTATTTCAACCTGACCTTTTAACCCAAACAGCTCCACCAACTTAGAGGACGTCCATTTATATAGACATGTAAAAGAAAAGGGACAAAAATCAGTGGCAACAAAGATCATGTAATTCCCGTTTTCTTTGTCAAGTGGGAGGGCGCTGGAGGGATAACTCGAGTAAAGACAACTTGCACTATTCCCTGGCGGAGGGTACATAATAATGTCTCCTCTCTCCTATACAAAGTCACACACACAAAACGCATTTATATATGCGAGTAAAAATTGGCAGCACCCAAATTGGAGGGATTAGAGCCGGGCCCCTGGCATTTGCAATGCTAATTTGGCCAGCCACTCAGGATCTGCCAATTTGTCATTGCGACTTTTCAAGTGTTTCGGAGACTTCACACATACGCCACTACTTACGGAACCTGTGCATCTTTCTTCAATCATGGCGGCTTTGTTTACATATATTAAAGAGTTTAAGAGCTCCGAGGCACAATAGGTTGTTTATAACAATAACTTTCACACTAGAACAAGTCAGGCTCCCTTGACCACCTTCACACACAAGAACATGTTATTGTTCTTGATAACATGTTATTGTTCTTGTTAACATGTTATTGTTCATGATAACATGTTATTGTTCTTGATAACATGTTATTGTTCTTGATAACATGTTATTATTTATAACATATTATTGTTCTTCATATCATATTAGAGAACAGTGTTTTAGAAAATGTTATAGAATACGTTATGATAGAAAACATTATATTAAAAACGTTATTATAGAACACCATGTTCTCGAGAACATAACATTCGTGAACGTCTTAGCAGCGAACCTTATACCGAGTGCTATTATAGGTACCACGTTTGAAAACATTATATTAGAGAGATTATCCATGAGAGTATATTAGTGAACGTTATATTATTGAGAACAGCTAGAACACGAGACAACTACAATGGAGAACACAAGAGGAGAGAGATGCAGCATCTCATCTGATGGTCCCCATCAGGGACCTCTTGGCTTGTTGAAACATTGAGACTACGTTCCTGTCCCTCCTGCTTGATACCTGGTTGATGGGGTTCTGGGAGTTGTTCTACTCCCCAAGCCCGGCCCGAGGCCAGGCTTGACTTGTGGGAGTTTGGTCCACCAGGCTGTTGCTTGGAGCGGCCCGCAGGCCCACATATACCTGCTTGATGGGGTTCTGGGAGTTCTTCTACTCCCCCAAGCCCGGCCCGAGGCCAGGCTTGACTTGTGAGAGTTTGGTCCACCAGGCTGTTGCTTGGAGCAGCCCGCAGGCCCACATACCCACCACAGCCCGGTTGATCCGGCACTCCTTGGAGGAATAAATCTAGTTTCCTCTTGAAGATGTCCACGGTTGTTCCGGCAATATTTCTTATGCTCGCTGGGAGGACGTTGAACAACCGCGGACCTCTGATGTTTATACAGTGTTCTCTGATTGTGCCTATGGCACCTCTGCTCTTCACTGGTTCTATTCTGCATTTTCTTCCATATCGTTCACTCCAGTACGTTGTTATTTTACTGTGTAGATTTGGTACTTGGCCCTCCAGTATCTTCCATGTGTATATTATTTGATATCTCTCTCGTCTTCTTTCTAGTGAGTACATTTGGAGGGCTTTGAGACGATCCCAATAATTTAGGTGCTTTATTGCGTCTATGCGTGCCGTATATGTTCTCTGTATTCCCTCTATTTCAGCAATCTCTCCTGCTCTGAAGGGGGAAGTGAGTACTGAGCAGTACTCAAGACGGGACAACACAAGTGACTTGAAGAGTACAGCCATTGTGATGGGATCCCTGGATTTGAAAGTTCTCGTAATCCATCCGATCATTTTTCTGGCTGTCGCAATATTTGCTTGGTTATGCTCCTTAAACGTTAGGTCGTCAGACATTATTATTCCCAAATCCCTTACATGCTGTTTTCCTACTATGGGTACATTTGATTGTGCTTTGTACTCTGTATTATGTTTAAGGTCCTCATTTTTACCGTACCTTAGTACCTGGAATTTATCACTGTTAGACATCATGTTATTTTCTGATGCCCAGTCGAAAACTTTATTAATATCAGCTTGAAGTTTTTCAATGTCTTCAGCCGAGGTAATTTTCATACTGATTTTTGTGTCATCTGCAAAGGATGATACGAAGCTGTGATTTGTATTTTTGTCTATATCTGATATGAGAATAAGGGAAAGCAGCGGTGCAAGGACTGTACCCTCCTGTCAACACCTCCAGCGGTGTTGACAGGTTGTCAGTATTTTATTCCCACTGGCACCCTGCCTGGCACTCTCTAGCACCGCTGGCACCCTGCCTGGCACTCTCTAGCACCGCTGGCACCCTGCCTGGCACTCTCTAGCACCGCTGGCACCCTGCCTGCTTGCCTATCACTAAAGGCGTCCTAGATATCATCCTTGACCCATCAGTAAAGGTGTCCTAGATATCATCCTTGACCCATCAGTAAAGGCGTCCTAGATATCATCCTTGACCCATCAGTAAAGGCGTCCTAGATATCATCCTTGACCCATCAGTAAAGGCGTCCATATCATCCTTGACCCATCAGTAAAGGCGTACATATCATCCTTGACCCATCAGTAAAGGCGTACATATCATCCTTGACCCATCAGTAAAGGCGTAAGCATCATCTCACTCATATAAATCTTAGCATAAACTCCAACTTACTTTTATTAACAGCACAAGTCACCAATTCCTTACAATCTGATAAACTTTATGTAAATTATGCAAATTAAGCTGCACTGTAAATTTCAAGTTCCATGAATATATAATGAGCTCCAGTACATCCCGTATAATTTTCACCTTACTTAAAAGGTAGATTTATTGGATTTGTTGACATAGTTTGAGTCAAAGCTAACTCAAACTTGAGCTAAAGTTTGAGCTCTCTGTACTAATCATTCAGTAAAGTTTATTTATAGTTTATTGGAGAATACTACTAAAATTTTAATTGTTTTGGCGGGAACCGTCGACACTCTTGCGAGTGGTGGCGGCTGTTGGTTGGTGGATAATGCCGTCGGGGTTGAGAATAAAGTCTTCGGGGTTGAGGATAAGTCTTCGGGATTGAGGATAAGTCTTCTGGGTTGAGGATAAAGTCTTCGGGATTGAGGATAAAGTCTTCGGGATTGAGGATAAGTGTTCGGGGTTGAGGATAAAGTCTTCGGGATTGAGGATAAGTCTTCAGGGTTGAGAATAAAGTCTTCGGGATTGAGGATAAGTCTTCAGGGTTGAGAATAAAGTCTTCGGGATTGAGGATAAAGTCTTTGGTGTTGAGGACAAAGTCTTCGGGATTGAGGACAAAGTCTTCGGTGCTAAGGATAAAGTCTTCGGGGTTGAGGATAAAGTCTTCGGGATTGAGCATAAAGTCTTCGGCGCTGAGGATAAAGTATTCGGGATTGAGGATAGAGTCTTCGGGGTTGAGGATAAAGTCTTTGGTGTTGAGGACAAAGTCTTCGGGATTGAGGATAAAGTCTTCGGTGCTGAGGATAAATTCTTCGGGGTTGAGGATAAAGTCTTTGGGGTTGAGGATAATGTCTTCGGATTGTGGATCAAGTCTGAAACGCAGCTTATAGCCAACAATTATTTTAATCCATCTAAATTGCTTTAGGCCGTAACCAAACAACCTGTTTCTCTCTCTCTCTCTCTCTCTCTCTCTCTCTCTCTCTCTCTCTCTCTCTCTCTCTCTCTCTCTCTCTCTCTCTCTCTCTCTCTCTCTCTCTCTCTCTGTACGTCGCGTTTTAACGCAATTGACCAATTCGTTAAAAATGCGACGTTTTAGTAAGAATTCACACACCGTAATATTGACGTTTTGAATTCATGGGCCTCGATAGGTTAGGTGGGTTGCTGGGGTTCGTATGTTTGTGTTAAGTTAAGTAGTTAGGTTTTACGGAGTGGCAAATTACACGAATGGGGGTGAATGCCTAATGAGGAAACCATCTTGTAGGCACGACCAATGGTAGTTAAGCTATGACCTACAATAGGTTATGTTTAGTACGTATACTAAGACCTTTTTCAGTTTAGAGTGTCTGAAAAAAAACACAAAAAATCAATACCGTCAATAACATCCTAAGAAAGATGAGTATTACAAGTCAGTGTTCGGTATATATAGGCAAGACAGACAACACCGAGGAGAAGAACAATGTCTTAATGTCTCTAGTTAATGACTTATCTACTCACCTAACCTAACCTAACCTTCGGTGTGATACATTATTTGTATTTCCGTTGAACCTTGACTCCCGAGGCGCATATATTACGGGAAAATTTTGAAAAAACAGACAAATCTTTTGTAGTAAAGAAAACATCATTGTTCTGCTGATAGAGCATTGCATTAGGCAAGATCTGTGCAGCACAAGAGAGGGAGGTCCCGAGGGAGGCGTTAGCTCAAGGAAAACTGTCTCTTAAGGTCTTGGTTGAACCATTAATCTGTGATGGAGTGTCTGGAGTTTGAGAACCTCTTCTCTTGAGGGATATGTTCGTCGGAGGCTCCATTTGTTGTTGGAGCGGCGACCACACCTGCGCCGGACCCCTGGAAACACAAACCGTAACTGTCTCTATTTTCCGCTTGTTACAACTTGTAATACAGTTGTTACATCTTGGCTTAACGTGTTTATGACGTATTAGAACGTTGTTACAACTTGCTATATTGGTTGTTATAACTTGCTAGGAGGTGTTAAAACTTGTTCAAACGTTGTAGCAACGTCGTAGTTTCGGTGTGTGTTTGGCGGGATACGACCCCGCCATCAGATACGGAAGATACCGGAAGGGGATCGAGGCCTCTACGTAGCGAAAAGCAAGGTGAGTAATCTCACTTTGTTTTTGATGTAATCTCACCTTGTATCTGATGCAGTCATCCCTCGAACCAGCTCCGTCAAGGAGAACGGAGACGGTGAGGAGTGAGATTTGACAGTGTTCATCTAGTGTGCTTGCGGAGGTTGAGCTCTGGCTCTTTGGGCCCACCTCTCAACTGTCAATCAATAATTTTTTTTCACACACACACACACACACACACACACACACACACACACACACACACACACACACACACACACACACACACACACACACACAGGAAGCAGCCCGTAACAGCTGTGTAACTCCCAGGTACCTATTTACTGATAGGTAACAGGGGCATCAGGGTGAAAGAAACTCTGCACCATTTGTTTCCGCCATCGCTGGGCATCGAGCCCCGGGCCATAGGGTTACAAGTCCCAAGCGCAGTCTATTCAGCCACCATGGCTGTCCGCAAACAGGACCAAAACGATTAGGCAAGTTTCCCTTCACCTAATATACCTATTCACCTAGCAGCCAATAAATTCCCGGGAGTGAGTGTTGAGGGGTTGCCTCCTGTGCGGGGGGTGGGGGGAGGGGGTCAATATTGGGGGGGTCAATAGTTGCCCCCCCCCCAGGCCTGTGATAACCCGTGTGTGAGTAGGCTTCATGTATTGTAGATTTTCCACGAGCTGATTTCATGGAATATGCTGTTCAGGATGCAAGGAGAACATCTTGAACACTGAACACCTTCTCTCCTTCACTTTCCTCCGATATTTCCCCCTCTTTCCCTCCTCTCCCCCTCTCTATATAGCTGCCGATATTTCTTCAAACAAGGCACTTGGGCCGACCCCTACTGGACCATAACCCTCATATCCCCCACATGTTTCCTAGTGAAAGAGAGGAACAAGTGGAGACGGTGGAAGAGAGACCCGGGCGCAGCCGGATCCCCCAAAGTTGGATAGATATAGATATAAATTCCATGTTGATAACATTTTATTCAACATCCTATTAATAAAAAGAAGCAAAAAAACGATGAATTAAGAAACATTCACACTACGAATTGAACAAGACTTAAAATAGATAATGTACTGAACGAAGCATCAAGAAACTAGTACTCACCCCGAGTACTGCGGCCACCATCTCCTTTAAGGAGTGCTAAATTGCACGCATTAAAGCCGGCCAGAGTCGCTTCACTCTAGGCCCTGTGTCCCCGAGTACCTGTACTCTGCGGGGGCGTGTCCCAGAGTACCTGTACTCTGTGTGGGCGTGTCCCAGAGTACCTGTACTCTGTGTGGGCGTGTCCCAGAGTACCTGTACTCTGTGTGGGCGTGTCCCAGAGTACCTGTACTCTGTGTGGGCGTGTCCCAGAGTACCTGTACTCTGTGTGGGCGTGTCCCAGAGTACCTGTACTCTGTGTGGGCGTGTCCCAGAGTACCTGTACTCTGTGTGGGCGTGTCCCAGAGTACCTGTACTCTGTGTGGGCGTGTCCCAGAGTACCTGTACTCTGTGTGGGCGTGTCCCAGAGTACCTGTACTCTGTGTGGGCGTGTCCCAGAGTACCTGTACTCTGTGTGGGCGTGTCCCAGAGTACCTGTACTCTGTGTGGGCGTGTCCCAGAGTACCTGTACTCTGTGTGGGCGTGTCCCAGAGTACCTGTACTCTGCGTGGGCGTGTTCCAGATTGCCTGTACTCTGTGTGGGCGTGTCCCAGAGTACCTGTACTCTGTGTGGGCGTGTCCCAGAGTACCTGTACTCTGTGTGGGCGTGTCCCAGAGTACCTGTACTCTAGGTGGGCGTGTCCCAGAGTACCTGTACTCTAGGTGGGCGTGTTCCTGAGTGCCTGTACTCTGCGTGGGCGTGTTCCTGAGTACCTGTACTCTAGGTGGGCGTGTCTCAGAGTACCTGTACTCTGTGTGGGCGTGTCCCAGAGTACCTGTACTCTGTGTGGGCGTGTCCCAGAGTACCTGTACTCTGCGTGGGCGTGTCCCAGAGTACCTGTACTCTGTGTGGGCGTGTCTCAGAGTACCTGTACTCTGGTTAGACCTCGTGTTCAATGATCCACGAGGCTGTTGGCGACGACAAGACGTATTTACACTATTATATATACTAATTGTGAAGCGTGTTAGTTCTAATTAAAACAATACATAATCAAATTCCTGTATGAAGTTCAGGAAATTCCTAGGACCGTAATTGTTCAAGGAAAGTCTTAAAGCCTGAGAAGTTATAAGTGGTTATCGGCCTGGCGGCTGATTGGACATAACTCAGGATTCGTAGTCCTGGGGTTCCGGGTTCGATCCCCGGTGGAGGCGGAAACAAATCAGCTTCTTTCACCCTGATGCGGCTGTTCAGCTAGCAGTAAATGGGTAATTGGGAGTTAGACAGGTGTTACGGACTGATTCCTGGTTGTGTGTAACAAAGAGGAGGCCTGGTCGAGGACCGGGCCGCGGGGACGCTAAGCCCCGAAATAACCTCAAGATAAGCCGTCGTGATCGTGTCTAAAGTGTCATCGATTATCAGATAATTAAGATAATGTTGAAGGCGGTCACACACGTCAGGGACTAAATTATAATTTTATGTTGTTATTTGGATCTGTTTCGTCAAACTGTTTCTGTAAGGAATAGAGAAGGAGTTTGGGAAGATTTTGTGAAGGTTCAGAATATAAATTTAGAACCCATCAGGAGGCTTTCTCAGGGGGAAACCATGAAGTCACAACAATGTTTTTAAAACAAATCACGTTGTGACAAAAGTTGTGAAAACGTCGAGGCAACTTCGTGACAACGTTGTGAAAACGTCGTGGCAACGTTGTGAAAACGTCGTGACATCGTCGTGACAACGTTGTGAAAATGTCGTGGCAACGGTTTGAAAACGTCGTGACAACGTTGCAACAACTATACAGTTTGAGCTTATAAAGGATTAATTTCTGCTGCTCAACTATCAATAGGCTTGTATTGGTGCTTAATAATTATCAAC